TTGACTCAAATCCTACAAACGTGCATAAACTTGCCGCATAAGTGTCTTGTTGCTTGAGACTTTTAAACCCTCTTACGCATTAAGCAAGGTGAAAAACGAAAACGATGCCATCCGAAATCGAATTACCGAATTTTGACAAGCGACGCATTTCTCAACCAAAACCCAATAAACAAACCAGCCATGAATAACAGAAGACTCTTGATAGCAGCTGTATTTCATTTTGTACCTCCAGAGGAAAAAAACAGTTAAAAACATCACAAGTTGACACAAAACTCTGTCAGCCTCAGCTGTCAAAGTAATCTACTTTCAAGATGCTGCATAATTTTTCCGCATAAACTCACCTGTCCAATTTTGACCAATCAGAGTATAAAAATTGGACGTAGAGCGTGACCAACGCGTGACCATGGTAAGATAAGGTCTTCCCCGCCTTTACTTTTAAAAAAACTGGATGAATTTTCGCTTCCGAGGCCAGTTTGAAATCAAAATCCTAATAGTGCGGGGCCATAGTGACATAAACACAACATATTTGATATGAATCCTTGGAAAAAATAAACTTTGAGCCTGCGATCATTTGAAACTGGTAATTTGTCAGCGGATAACTTTAAAAAAAATACTCGACCTCGATGGGTCGACACTTGAGCCCGCGGTACGGTCAGGTGATACTTGTCAGCGGATGCCCTGTTTTGATAGCTGTTAATTGATCACAACATTGATGTGCAACCTGTGCAATTAGTTTTCTCTTGGGCTCCCAAACTAGCTAAAAGTGTGAGAGTAAACATTGGTTTTCCTGTGGTGCGGACGGACGGCGGTAGGTCGGTCGGTGTACGGTCAGGTGATTACCCAATTTTCTGGGATGGGAAGATTCACTTAGCAATGGGGCTCCGCCCACGCGCGCGCTTCGCGCGCGCGTGGAGCTCTGCTATTACCACTACTTGTTCTAAGAGGCGTTTTTGAGTTGACGAGCAGAGAAAATTAGGTTTCGACGGTCTGAAATTCAGGATGCCAGAGTGAAGACGCGTTTTGTATGATGACGTCATCGTCCTACAGTAAAAAGCGTTCGTTTTTTTACCACTGATATTACGTCAATCAGTACACTTATGTTGTCGAAAGGTCCGTGAGCCTGGTAAATGATTTTACATTAAACTGCAGACACATCTTCAATCACTCCTTATTGTTCGCGATATCGGATAAATACTCTGATCGCTAACTGAATTTTCTTTGCTGTTTACTTTATTTTGAACTAGGACTGTCTCGAGTTGTCCATGCATTGACTAGCCATTTTAAGCTTTTTCAAGGAAACGAAAATCTGGAATTGTCCCTAGGGTGTTGCATTTGCGCA